TTCAGGCAGATGTAGGGACCAATGATATAACCTTCACCCAAGCAAGAAATCTTTATAAGTAGGACCAAGTTCCCCCTAAGACAGAATATCGGTGTAATATCTAACAGCAGGCTAATGAGCATAATATATCTATACCAGCAGCAAGTTCTTTACAGGCTCAGTCCTATTCCAATGTTTTTTATCTTAATTTTGCTGTCTTCATCTAGCATCATCAGTACCAGATTTCAGAAGGCCCATCTCAAGAAACAGAACTTCTACCACTAAAAGAATACCCCATATCTCAGAAAAGAGCCAGAGTCTCCAGTATGTCCATTGAGGACCTACCTAGAATTAAGCGATTGTACAAACAGATGCTCGACTCTTTGGCTTTCCAGTATTTCCTGATAAATTCAGAGCAAGTACTGCATTTTTTCTTTTTCCTCTTTTTTTTTTTTTAACTGTGAATCATTTTGTCCTTGACAAACAATGGAAAACTGATTGCTACTATCACAGGCTCCTTAAGTCATCCTTTAGGGTTTTTGCCTCCCATTTAGAGAATTTAATCATGAGTCACAGAGGATTACAGGCGGTAGTTTTTCATATTCCAGTATAGCAGCTCTAGAGCTGACAGAATTAATGCTGGGATGCTTCTTTGTAGCCACAGGCACACACATTTTTTGAGCATATTCTTCACTTCACATATTTCACATTCAGATAAAGCACCGTTCAGGGCTATCTGGAACTAAGTATTTCATGCCCAAGGTCACACATTCGAGTTGGCTTCAAGGATTCCCTAATTTTGATCTGTGGCAGCTTCAACTGCCAGGAGACAGCAGGACTCGGACATTCCGATGGCTCCGTGCCAAGATACTATGATTATCCAATTAGTAGTATCCAATTAGTAGTATGCAGTTGCCATTGGGAATTGCTTCTCCAAAGCCAACATCCTGAACGAGCACCGCCAACCTACCAGTTTAATGCAGCAGAACGCTGAAATTTCATGGTGATCCCAATCTTGCTTTGGCACGGCAAGAGTGGATCCATGCTCTTGCTAAAGGCTGCAACTCCCTGGAAAATGGAAAGCCCATGGTCTGCCAGCCAACCTTAGTCCACTCCTTACAGCATGCAAATGTTAAGGTAAAAATAAAAATAAATGAATATGACTGCAATGCAGAGTTTAAGAAAAGAGTTACTATATTTGGAGACAGGGAAAATGAAACGCAATGCATCCTTGGGCTTACTTATGTCTCTGCTTTGGCCTCAAGGTGCTTGTTGTATTCTCTTCAAATAGCAGACTACCAAATCAAGCTAACACTCAAGACACTTCATGCAGCTCTCCAGATTCAGGATTGATTCACGCCCTTGACAAATTGCAACTTCAGAATTACTTTCCTCAAAACAAATGCAAAGCTTATGTACCCTATTGCCTCCATTAGGATCTCCATTCAGAGATCTGTTCTGCCCCCTAAGCAGCATGCATTCCATAAGTTTGACACTTCACCGAGATACAAATTTTTAATATTTCTCCAACAGACTGTTGCCAGTCACAGTCTAGCTTTTCCTTACCAAGATATTTTGTAAATGTTGATATTACTTGAAAACAGTTCAAAAGAATTATCAAATCAAATCAGAATTATCAAATCTATTAGAAACATTTATTTCTAAAGCTGTATCTTATACTTTAGTTGTCCACAAAATGTATTTCACCCACTGCATATGAAATCATCTCTGCAGATTGTCAGGAAGGCACTTAAATTCCCATACTCCTTTCTAATCTACAAAAAATGATACATAAAATAAACATGCAAAAGGAGAGCAATGAACGTGGCTCTTTATTGGTCCTTGACAGAGTGCGGACATAAGAGCAGACAAACACTTTTTCCTTTAAATTTGGCTTGCTAGGAAGAAAACACATCTTGAAGGAACAAACAGATGTGAACATAAACATATGTGACAATTCTTTCTCCTATAGAATCACCCAGTGTGGTGATTTTTCAAAGACTAGTAACATAATCTCTCTCTTTTTCAGCACTTGCACACACCTGTAGTTGTCACTGCCCTTGATGCAAACAAGACTGGTAAAACTTCAGTGCCATAGTAGTGCAGTTAGATTGTGCCTAACCTTCCTTCATACATATCTTTTTAGGTCTTTCAGTGAATCAAAACATTAAAGCGACTTGGCTGATGTCAAAATCTTTGAATTCTTTTCATCCCAGCAACCCTGCTCAGACAGGGACCTTGTGGAAGGGATGTCTTAAGTGAGCTATGCAACCTTCAGTTAGATGAGCACTTGCTGACATAATTCAGTATGCCTTACAACATTTTAAGTCCTTTTCCCATCTTCAGGTTTTGACATGTTCAATATTCCCCAAGTCTTTGATTCAACAGAAGAAATTCCTTCTGAGGTCAGTCTTCCTCCCAGGTATATTATTTCCACTGTCTAACATTAATACTTTACGCAGTTTAAAATGACTGGTTCTTGGAATGTCAAATACTCGGTTCCTTCTTTTCTGATATTCGCTGGATCAAAACATATGTTCATACCTGCTACACTTTCCATTGGCTAATTCACTGCATGCAATACACCTCCAGCCAAACATACTTCAAAAGGTAGTACTGCCAAATGATGGAGCGAACTGCAAAGCTTGAAGCCATCTATCCAGGAAAATCCATCTATATCCTGCTAATGCATTAAATTTGCTGAATAATTTGACTCCTGACATCTTAAACAACATTCTCCTTTCCATAAGCCAGCAAAAATGTTCTTTCTTCTGTTTTTATTTAAGTCTTGAGAGCCTACATATGGTCATAATCTCCATCCTTTTTTCTCTGCAATTATTAAATAGAGAACCCAATTTGTAGATGTTTTTCTGTTCTTCAAATGATACCATCTGCTGCCATGGTTCACAACTCGTTTTCTAGCCTCTTTCTCAAGGTCTGTGAAACATTTTGTGTAGCCCTGACCACAGATCTGCGTCTTCTTCATGCCATATCTTGTCTTTTAATGGAAGACATACACGAATACACCTTCACATTATGTTACTAAAACATTCCAAAAGGGCTATAGGTTGTCTTTCTGAATTTCTATGACACTGACCCTCTTGATGTTTACATCACCTTTCTAGGCCCAAAACAGGTCACCACCTTCTGTATGTCAACACCTATTTTACCATTTATATTTAACTGATGTACTTTTCGGGGAGCATTTCAACAGCAGTAAAATTGCCTCTCTGTTAAAGCATTTTGGAGGCACTCTTTACTTTTCCACATTTATGAGCTCTGTGCAGTGCCCTGTTTCCCTTTCTGTTATCACATTTATTTCCATTCCATTCTCTGTCCTGTGCAGGCCAATTCTACTCATTTTAATTGGCCAATCTTTTGAATTTACAGCTTCCTCCATTATTATTCCTAAAAACAGCACTTCCCCTTCACTTGAGGAATCCCGTTCTTCACTTACTACAAGCGGTTTCTTGCGTGCACTGAATATTTTAGCACAATAGTGTGTTTATTACACTTTCTGCACGTTTGTCAGTAACCAGAGAATTTCTAATGCTCATGCTGAGTGCCACATCACTGCCATCGCTTCCGTAACTTTCCACGTTCCTGTACTTGGCCAATTTAATTTCTGGGAAATTCTCTCTTGCAATGGTACGCACTGTCAAATCTTCTCTCTTTCAGATTTTTATTTGTATTACTGTTTGCTCTGTGGCTTGCTGTATACACGTTCCCTTTTCTAGAGTGAGATCAACTGGACTTAGAACCCATTCAGGGACTTCTTTATTGTTAGACTTCAAGAAAATCTACTCTTTTGTAAGTGTTAGCTTCGTACTTTTAACATCATTTTAAGTCTTTGACCATCTTCTCTACCGTTCTCCCTTCAAATTGTGTAATCACCCTGCTTGTACCTCTTTCATGAGCTGGCATTTTTTTTCTACAATGGCCTTCAAATGTCTTCACTATTTCTGCAAAAGCCAGCTTCTCCTTACCTGCCATTTCCTCATACCTTTACAGCTGACAGTTCTTCATACACCTTTACAGCTTTTGACTCTGCCACTGCTTAGGAACAGAGTGAAATTTTTCTCATCCTCCAGCCCATTTATCCTTATGGTTTTCACAACCACTACACACCCGTGCGCACCTTTCAGCATTTCTCCAATTTACACACCTCTCAGCAGTCCCCCAGCTCTCAGGGAGGATAAGGCGTTCACCTGCAATCACACAACATAGGGCTACCATCTCCTGAACCTTTCACTTCAGCTACCAATCGTGAAGAGCAAAACTGCTTCAAGATAACCTGCTCATTATTCTACTTCAGCGCCCTTATGCCACATGTGGATTTGTGCCAGTTCAAAACATTTGTTAAATTTTTTGAACCTAACCTGAAAAATTTGGACTTTTGTATGCATATATAAACACGTGGCATATGCAGCATTCAAAAGATGCTTACATCGCTATCACCGTAAACTTGAAAATAATTTGGCAGGTGCTTAAGTACACTACATAGTTTAGTCACTCATAAGTCAACATAATTGCTACTAGTAGGAGAGTTCGGTATATGTGTCCACAATGTGAGGATCACTGTAGGCTTATTGTATTCCAAAACCAGTCTTTAAAAGTTAGGAAGAGGCAAGACTGGAAGGGGGGATAGGAAATGAATAAGCAATAGATTATTCACCTGCCCATCCAAAAGAAGCAATGTCACCTCCCTGAACTAGATATGTATTCTGCACATAGGTTCATAAGAGAAGAAAAGAGAAAAGAGAAAAGAGAAAAGAGAAAAGAGAAAAGAGAAAAGAGAAAAGAAAAAAGAAAAAAGAAAAAAGAAAAAAGAAAAAAGAAAAAAGAAAAAAGAAAAAAGAAAAAAGAAAAAAGAAAAAAGAAAAAAGAAAAAAGAAAAAAGAAAAAAGAAAAAAGAAAAAAGAAAAAAGAAAAAAGAAAAAAGAAAAAAGAAAAAAGAAAAAAGAAAAAAGAAAAAAGAAAAAAGAAAAAAGAAAAAAGAGAAAAGAGAAAAGAGAAAAGAAAAAAGAAAAAAGAAAAAAGAAAAAGGCATGCCTGTGTCTAGTGGAAGACCATGGGTTTGGAGAAAATGCTAGGAATAAGGTTATGCAGGCATGCCAGGTTCAATTCTTTCTTCTTCCTAAGGAAGTGTGGTCCCAGGCTCCTGAAAGGTACCCTTCCATAATGTAATCCGAGGATGGCACTCTCAGCTTTACCTGTTCATGCTGTTCTTATTTTTGCTGTAATCGCACAGCCAGTGGAGCAAGCACAGGACCCAGCTGTCTCACTACACAAATAAGCATCACAGCCACTTAGCTAAACAGACAGTCCTGCTCTCTGACCCAAAAGCCTATTTAAATACTCCACGCCAAGCAAGGCAACTCTGACAGGAAGACTCAAGGCAAATCCACATCTGTACGCCACATAGGACGGTAGTTAAGATGCTGACATGCAAGACCTTGGATCATACCCACGCTCTGACTTAAGCAGAGCGGCTCTTGACAGACTCTGCTGAAATGTTTTGTTTGGGACCACATGAACATCTCACTCCCCAGCATGACGCTGCTCACCGGGGGGGAGCCCCTACTTTTCCCACTCATCTCCATGCACGAAGTCCCCGAGGCTTCTCGTGTCGTCAGTGACGAAAAGAAGGGTGCGGGGGAAATGCCTCCATCGGATAATTCCCTGGGGGGATCAAATTTTGGCCTTCTGAATCAATCCCTGGAAGAAGTGGGCTCTCCGTTGCAGGCAGGAGTGCAGACAGCTGAGCCAAGCGCCTTCATGACACAGTTCATAGGGACTCGCCAGATTTTGATCGCTGCGGCCTGGGACAGTCCCGGATATGCTTAGCTAGTAAGACACGTGACACTTGTAGCACATGCTGTGCAAAGTGCCCCCATCCATGCCTATGAAGTCGACATGCCCAGTATAAACACGTGATATAGCCACATATGCTCACTGCGCTGTCTGGCATTTAGAGAGTCAGACAGTTGTTACAAAAGTAT